TATAGATGGCTTTTATCAGGTTGAGATAAAGGCCCTCTCTTCCTTTTTTCTCAGTGACCTTATTATGAATGGATGTTGAATGTTGTCAAATAGTTTTTCTGTGACTATTGTGATAATCATATTGTTTTAATCCTTCATTTTGTTGATATGGTATATTACATTTAATGATTTGTATATACTGAACTATCCCTTCATCCGTGGAATGAATCCCATTTGGTCATGCTATATGAACTTTTTGAGGGTTTGCTACATTTCATTTGTTAGTATCTTAATGAAGTTTTTGCATGAATGTTCATTAAAGAGATTGGCCTGTAGTTCTCTTTTTTGGTGGGATCCTATTCAGATTTTAGAATGAAGCTAGTGCTTATTTCCAAGAATGACTTTTAGAGTGCTACTTCCTTTTCAATTTTATTAAATAGTTTGAGGGGCACTGGCGTTAGATCTTCTCTAAAGTTCTTGTAGAATTTCACAGTGAATTTGTCAGGGCCTGGACTTCTTTAGTTGGTAAATTTTTAGTTATTTCTTCAGTTTCACTGATGGATATTAGCTTATTCATGATTTTCTTATCCTGTCAGTTTGGTAGTTCATATGTTTCAAGGAATTTATCCATTTCTTCTGAATTTTCATTTTATTAGAGTACAGGTTCTCAAAATCATTACTGATACTTTTCTGTATTTCAGCAGAATCTGTTGTGATTTCAACTTTTCATTTCTAATTGCATGGAATTTGGTCCTTTCTTTCCTTATTTTGTCATATTAGCTAAGTGTTTCCCTATTTAGTTTAATCTTTCAAAGAACCAACTCTTCAACTCATTGATTCTTTGTAATATTCTCTTAGCTTCAATTTCATTAATTTCTTCTCTGATCTTTATAATTTTCTTCCTTAAATTAGCTTTGGATTTGGATTCTTCTCATTTTTTTCTAGGACCTTGAAGTGTGTCATTAATTTATTTATTTGAGCTTGTTCCATTATTCTAATTTGGAAACTCACTGCTATGAATTTCTCTCTTAGGACTGCTTTCAGTGCATCCCATAAGTCCCAATTTGTCATACTGGCATTATTGTTTAATTATAAAAGTGTCTAATTTCTTCATTAATTTCATCTATGATCTATTGATTTTTTAAGAGGATACTGTTTAATTTCCATATTTGCATGTTTATGTGGTTTCTTTTGTCATTGAACTCTAATTTAATTGCATGATGATCTGATCATATTCATGGCATAATTTCAGCTCTTTTGCATACATAAATGTGCTTCATTGACTGGTATGTAGTCTATTTTGGAGAAAGTCTCATGTGCTTCTGAGAAGAATGCATATTCTGTTGTTGGATAGAACACTGTAAATATTTATTAAATCCATTTGTTCAAAGGTTTGGTTTAACTCTGATATTTGTTCGTTGATTATTTTGTCTAATTGATCTGTCTGTTTGTGACAGTGGATTATTCAGATCCCCTACTATTGTTCTGTCAGTGATTATCTAATTTTTGCATTCATTAGTGTTTAGCTTTTGGAGTTGAGTGTGCTGGTATTTGGTGCACATATGTTTATAACTGTAACTCTTCCTGTTGAAATGGTCTTTTATATAGTGACCCTCTCTGTCTCCTCTGTTCAGTCTTAGCTTGAAATCCACTTTGTCTGAAATTAGGATAGGTACTCCTGCTTTTTTCTGGGCTTCTGTTGCATGAAATATTATTTTCCACCCTTTGATTTTTAATCTGTGATTACCTTTTTGACTGAGTATGTTTCTTGCATGCTTCATATTGTTAGGTTTTCTTTCTTAACCATTCTGCCAATCTGTGTCTTTTGATTGGGGAATTGAAACCATTCAAGTTGAAAGTTATTTCAGAGAGATAATTGACTTGTTTCTGTCATTGCATTATTTTCCTATTGCTGATTTCTTCATTTTTTACTGTTTTGCTTACTGCTTGTTCCACCAGTGTATTCATTCTTTTTGACTTGACATTGTTGACTTCATTGCCTGTTTCTCGGATAACCTTGAGAATTTATAATGTTGGTTTGGTGGTCATGAATTTATCAAGGTGCTCCTTTTCCGGAAATATATTATTTCTCCATCAATTTTAAAGGCATATACGTTAAGTTGAAATTAGAAGTTGCTGCCTTTTAAGAGTTAAAACATTTTCTCATCTTTAAGGTTGGTGTAAGAAGTCTGCTGTGATTCTAGGGAGTTTTCCTTAACATTATATTGAGATTTATAGCTTAGAACAAGATTTAAGACATCTTTTAGACTTTCTAGAAAGTGCAAAAATCTCACCCACTGAGATATAATTCATTAACTGTAAGTTAGCAGGAGTGAAAATTTTTAAGTATGTGGGTTTTGCTCTGTACATCTGTAAGTGGCATATTAAAACAAATACTAGCACATTCAAAAATTAAAAACAAAAAAGTGACAGGGATTTAGCTCAGCAGTATAAGCACCCGCCTTGCAAACATGCAGTAGTGAGTTCAATCCCTAGTACCAAAAATAGATAAGTAAATAAATAAATAAAATAAAATACTAACACATTCTTTTTCTTTCTCTCACATAATGTTTCATTCTTCATGTCAATAAGCATGTGTCCAGGTACTCACTTTGAGAGAAATATGTTTATATTATGTCATTTTTGGCCTGTATGAATTGATTTTACCTTAAAAACAAAGAAAACTCTTGATGATGTTTCACAAACACTAATTCAGATACTAAATTCACTTTAGCCAGCATGAACAACTACTATTGCACACTCTTGTTGAGCACTTTGACCTCGATAACTGTTGGAAGAGCCAGAATGAGCTCTCAGAATTGTCTAATTAGAAGTTTGCTGTCTTTTCAGTTTGTCTCAAAGCCCTCTCTTTCCTGCAGTATATTCTTTTGACATGGCAAGGTTTTGCTTCTTTCTGTACTGTTTAAAAGAAATCACCAAAAAAGCCCAAGTGTTGCAGGGAAATCTGTGACATTGAAATCTCTGTCTCTGCGTGTGGTTTTGATGTTTCCTTTTTGAACTTCAACTTGACATTGCTTCATAAGCTACATTTACCCTTTTATTCCTTTTTCCTTACTCTTTCAAAAGTTTGGCTTTGTTGTTAATATTCCACACAGATTTCTGTGACTTTTTTTGTTTGCTTTGTTTTCATGGGCTCTGTAGGAGGTAAATATTCAGCAGGTTGAATGTGAAATCAGGCACACAACTGCCATTAGTCCTATCAGTGTTGCACATTAGGTTCTCCCAGAAGAGATCTGGAAAAGTATTACCTTTTGAGCTTCCTATGCATTAGCAGCAGGAAGATGCAGGGCAGTGGCCAACTTGCAGCTCTTTCAAGGATGTAGGTTATAACCCTGCTTCAAGTTAATGCTTGTTGATGTTATAACTTTTTTTCGAATTTGACCCTTTCGGCCTTCCCTCTTATGTAGCTATGCATCATCTCCATCAAAAAAGGATTTGTAAAATTGTGTTTTGTTCTTTGAAAAACATGAAATTGCTTATAGATAGAAGAAAGCAGCATTTATTCAAGGACCTGGAGACCTCTGCTGGTTAAATGATTCATTGAGTGCTTTTCCAGTTTTGTTTATTATTGAAAAGGTGTGCTGTACAGCTTGACCTCAAAAGAAGCAATTTCATTTTGAATTAAATTCTGGATGATTTGAAGTTTCACCAAATGAACATGTTGGAGTCAAGTCACCTAAAAGATATGTTAAGAATATTGAGTAACCTCTTCTAACTAAATACTGCTGTAAACTCTGATTATTAGGTTTTTATCAGTAGGCATTACCCTGTGAAAATGCCTTATTGACAGATACCATTTCTAAATGAGAGCTATGGGTCTTCTACATGACTTTGGACAAAAAAAGTCTACACAGTGTATTTGCCATTATAGTTAACAATGTGCATTGTGCTTGAGGCAAGATCTGGTGTATATGAAGACTTTATATGAAACATGACATTAACATTATTTCACCCACTGAGACCCAAAAAGGAAAAATAGTTTTTTCAGTTAAAACATGAAAAAGGAGATAAGTTTGGGTTGTGGAGCTGATGTATGGCAGGGGATAATATCAGAATTAATTTCTACTCCTAATTCCTTTATTAAGCACTGGGTAGAACTTGTTTTATTTAAAGTTTTATAAAAACATAAACTCACTCAAAGATTTGGTCTTTTAGGGCCATATTGGTCATAAATATGATATCAGTAAATAATAAGCAATAATTTCATCAATCTTCAAGGAGAAAAAAATAACAAATCTTGTGTATACATGAGTTAAACATGTTACCTAAGGAGAATGTAAGTATCACTGATAGTAAAACCCCAAAATACAGTGACTCAAATATGAAATTAATTTCTCTCTTCCATAATCTGTCCAAAAATAAGCACAGAGGTCTAGTGCTGATTGCTAGAGATCATTCATGGTCAAGGTTGTTAAGTCACTAATTCCATCGTATGGCAGCTTCCACTTTTGTGTTCAAGGCTGTTTCTGTTGTTACTGTTTTCCACACAAACCTTGTGAAGGATCGAGATGAATCTGGGGCAAGAGTCTAAGTGAATAACCTGGAATTTACCCTGTTCATTTTCACACACATACAATTTGTGTGAACTTCATCATAATGCTGCCTCTTGCTGCAGACAAATCTGGAAAAGCATTGTATAGCTGAGAATTCACAAGTACAACCAAAGGTGGTGGGATAGTGTGGGGTTTTGTCCTACTAAAATAACAAAATAATAATACATACTTGAGATATACAGTTAATTTTTTCCTATGTATTAGGTAACTTTTGTCCATTCTGCCTTCAGTGATTGAAAAGACCAACTTCAGTGATTGAAAAGACCAACACAGATGGTGTAGAAGCATATATTCCCCTATTGAACCTGCAGCCAACATTGATAATTATATAATATCTGGGAAATAAATTTTATAAAAGTCTTATTTTGATCTGTAATTGTATAAGATAAATACAGATTGAACATATAGTAAATGTATGCCTTTTCTTTGCTTTTTGAACTGATATAGCTCAACCTAATTGGATTCAAAAAATAAATGATATCCATGTGGCCATGGAAGAAAAAGTCTTTTGGGAATGTAAAGCAAATGGGAAGCCCAAACCTACATATAGGTGGCTAAAAAATGGTGAACCACTGTTAACTCGGGTAAGCAAATTGATGGTAGATATATCTTAAATATTGCTTTTAATGTTTAATATAGCTTCATTGTTATTGAAGTAGGAAAATGGCGGGTTGTTTCTACAACAAAGAACAACTAAAAGCCATAAATAGTGGAAAATGGAATGCAGTTAACAATTACAAATTATAAATAAATGCGGGACGCTAGCCATGTCCAGCTGAGCTTCTATGCTAAATCTTTGATATTCCCAGGTTAACATTTATAGCCTTAAAATGCATCAGTTACATAGATGGCCTAGAATACGTAATTTTGCTAGGATGTAAAGAAAACACATTCCAGGATATTCTACAGGAGAAGGCATATGATAAAGAAGTGCCCATCTAAATGGAATAAGACTCTGACAAGGCAATCTGATGAGCCACAGGTAGGCTGAGAGGCATTCAGACTGACAAAACAGTTGTGTCCAGTTTAATTTTCCTTATTGTGTTTTCTACTAGACTTCAAATGTTAACTGGGGTTTGACATTTTCCTCAGGCTCCAAATTGAGAGCTAGTTTTTCACACCTACTTTCCCTTCCAAGGAAAGTGCCTGCTTTGGGCCACTGGAGCAGATGGGGACTATCTCTCCTGACCAGCCTCTGCCTCAAACACTTCCTCTATCCCTGCAGGGTTTCTGCTGGCACAGGATTCTGTCAATTCTGAAATATTCATACAAATTGCTAGGGTAAAAGTACCAAGGTAACTGGCATTTTCTTCCTTTTATGTGATGTAAAGGACCTGAGATTCCTGTATTTGATCAAAGTGTCCACTAAGCTGAATTGTGAGCCTGCAGCAAACAGAAAGCCAGTTCTTATTGTTTTCTTTTTTCAAATGGCAAGTCTTGGGCTGGGGATTTAGCTGAATGGTTCAAGCACTTGCCTGGTAAATCTAAGGTTGTGAGTTTGATCCCCAGTGCAAAAAAAATACAAACACAAAACAAAACCATAGTTTCTCAAATGGCAAGTGTAGTGGTCAGAAGAAGATTATTTCTTGATACTTGTGGAAGCTGATGAACAAGTGGCAGGTATTCAGGGTGCCGATAAGAGCAATCTCTTGTACCATGTAGTGTCTGTATCCTTCAGACTGGCTACCAGCAGATGGTACTGTTTAACCTGTACCATAGACAACAGCAGAATAGGAGGACATTAAATTATTAGTGCATGATTTTTCAGTAAACCTCAACTCAAATAATTAAATATTTGATTCCACCCGATTTAAGAAAATTATACTCCTATGATTCTTCAACGCATTGCCTACTCATACTTTCAGTGTTCTGAACTCTAAATAATAAAAGTTGTTCTGTTTTCACTTTTCCCTTCCCTGCTTTGTACAAAGCCTGAGAGTAAAACATTTACTATTTCAAGTTCATATATGTAGAGGGTTATTAATCTGAATGACTTTACTATTAATGAAAAGTCAAGAGAATCCTACAATTTAAATTCTACTTACCAAGTGAGGTATTGGTTCTTCTATTTCGCATTTGACTTGCCACAAACAAATTTAGCTAACAAATAAATAGATTATGTTATATAAATTGTTTATATGATGACTGTTTTCTTCTCATTAAGTTCTTTTGTTATAATGTGTGGCAAAATTGCCTCCAAGTCTCTTCATAGAAGGTCATTGTTTTTGTATTTCTTTTTTCTTCCACAGGATAGAATTCAAATTGAGCAAGGAACACTCAACATAACAATAGTGAATCTCTCAGATGCAGGCATGTATCAGTGTGTGGCAGAGAATAAACATGGAGTTATCTTTTCCAGTGCAGAGCTTAGTGTAATAGGTGAGTGTTTATAATGAAAAAAATAAATAAAAACTCTTTCAATCACTACAAAAAATCATGTTTCCAGGTATAAATGTTCAACCCAAGATAAAATATAAAGAAATTTTGGCCAAATATATTGTTAAGAAGCAAGTAATGTTGTCTACAAGCAATACAAAGATACTACTTTCTAAATTAACCTCTTGTGATGCTTACAATGGGTAGCACTGCCTTCTAGCTCTCATTTTTATTTCGCTATAGATCATACTTCCTAGTTGAACAAAGTTTCTGAAATACTTTGATGCCTAATGTGATCATTCTAATTAGTGGAGGAAGTGTGACTTCATTTGGAAAGGCTTATTGAACCTTATTCTTCCATGAATTTTCCAGACTACGCACTAATGGTCTATATTCTTTTTCTCCCTCTCCCTCAGCCACATTAACATTTTTGATCTGGCCATTTACCAACACCTTTCCTCCACAGGTCTCTTCCATACTCCTGCCTGAAAGGCTTCCTTCCCTTCCCCTCCACTCACCAATTCCTTCCCATTCTTCAACTCTGGTCCCTGTTAGGGTTTCTTTAGGAAGTCATGCCGAGTCCCATGCTTGGGCCAACTCTCCCCATCACTGATATTTAAATCATCTCTATTACTGTCTCCTGTAGCACATGCCCTGGTTGTGTTTTACATTCTGTGTGTGTGTGTGTGTGTATTGGTGGGTGGATGTGCGCAAACTTTCTATTTCACTGTACTTTAACACCCTCATTAAGTCAGTGTTCAACTCATTGTTACATCTCCAGGAATAAATGAAATACTAAAGCACATAGAATATTATAACTAAGCACTAAATAGATATAAGAATGAATAGTGTGTTAAACAGATGACAGAGTTTAGACATGGTTTCATAGAATGGATTAAAGAGTTAAGTAAATAAGTGATTGAAATCATAAGCTAAATGAATTAATAGATCTATGAGTATTTTGTAAAAATCCCAGTCATCAACCTGCAAGTATGCTTTGAAAGATCCTGAATTTATCTATTATTTAGAAAAAAAAAAGGCAATGACAGTAAAATGTAAAAATACCAAGATAAATGTAAATGACTCTGGCATAACCTCCTGTTTTAGAGACACTAAGCAGTAGTTCTTGACAAGGGCATTAGAGAAAATTGTGAATAAGAGAAAAATAGTGCACAAAGTGGATGGATTCATATATCTTGATAATTTACCCAGAGTCAACATCCTAACTTTCCTTTCTGCAAAGCATTATTCATAGCCTGACATGTAGATTACATAAAGAAGTAGATATTCTCAAATTCAATGTGTTTTCATCATGTGAGGCCTAAAAGGAAGAAGACTTTCCCACGACTGTACTTCTTGCCTAGTTCTTTAGCTTGGGCACCATTTCATCAAAGACAAGGATTTTTAGCAAGTACAGGATTTGAAACAGCTGTAGCCTTTTTCAAGGAGACCTAGGAACAGTTCTGTGCTCCTGAACAAGCATCATTTGAGCTTGGCTTTCTGCAGTCATAACCATATTGGAAAATTCAACATTCATTCTCCTACCACGTAAATCTTGAGAACAATAATTCCAGCTTCCCAGATGAGGAGGTTGGGTCTACCTTGCCTAGATTTGCTGCAATTGTTGGTACTTGGAGTTGAGCCTTTTGCAGTATAATTCACCTTCATGGGTTGCTTAGCAGTTTCCCAAGAAAGAGAGGTGTTCTCTATTCATTGTATGTAAGCTAGTTGAAAGAAAAACTGCAAGTGACAGAGAATAACCCAATTAAATAAACCACATTATGCTAACACTCTCTAAGTAAGAGTTTGCCAATGTATAAGTATGGGCACCCTCCTTTATAATTTTATTTATTATATTTATTATTTCCTTTACAATTTTATTATATTTATTATTATTTTATTTGCTAAAATAAGCAAACATAATATTAACAAATCACTGCAATGAAGTGAGGAATGCTTTTAAATTCTTTCTGTCTGGAACACCTGCAGAAAATAACAAAATGTCTGTGCATGGGTAGATGGATAGATATATAGATAGAAAGACAGACAGAGAATATATATATAATACCTTAAAGCTTTTCTTCATACAGCCATCCCTGTGTCCTTATCCAAACAAACTTCACAACCTGTGAGTTGGGAATCACCGTTCCAACTTTATATTATGAAATTCATTTCCATTCATTATCTATTGGGGTTAAGTAATTCCAAATGAACTCTTTATCTGAATTTTTTCTAGTGAGAAAATAAGATATCTTAGATTATTCAAGCTATAGTAACAAAAACTCCATAAACTGGGTTTTTTGTCAGCAAAATAATTTTATTTTTCTCACAGTTCTGGAAACTGAATGTCCGAGATCAGGGTGACAGCTGAGGGTCTGCTGAGGACCCTCTTCAGAGTTAAGACTGACAGCTTCTCACTGTGTTCTTACATGGAAGAAGTGGCAAGGGTCTCTCTGTGGTCTGTGTCATAAGGTACCAATCCCATTTATGAAGTCTTCACCTTCTTGATCTTCTGTCTTCCAAAGCACCCCACAACTGAATGCCATCATCTTATAGATCAAGATTCCAATGTATGACTGGGTAGGACACAGACATTAAGGCCATACCACTAGAACAGTTAAGAAGAGATGAAAAAATCTGAGAAATTATGTAATGAACTTAATTTCAACTGTGTTTAACACGGAAACAGTACAAACTCATCAGTAGGTGATATATGCCAAACAAATAGTGGCAACAGGTTTGTAGGCATTTGGGAAGGAGAATTTTACAAATGGACTATACTGGCCAGCTGAACCTTGCACTGTGGACAGATAGGAAAGAGGACAGAGAATATTCCAGGTCATAGTCCAAAGGCCTCACAAAGGCTCAAAGGTACAAATATTCAGGATGATTTCTTTCACACAGAGAATCTTGAGTATTTTCCAAATGTTCACTCAAATAGATATAGCATGTGGGGGCAGAGTTTAAGCTTCAGAAATAGATGGAAAATTAATTAAAGATCAATTTTAGGCACTCTAAAGTGAAAATTTAAAAGTTTACTCTTTAAAAATCCCATTTTGCTGTCTAAAGCTTTACATTAACATATTTCAAGTGAATTGAAGGACATCTAAGTGTTGAATGGATAAATCCCTAGAGTCGCTCTTAAGTAAATGAGGATAAAGTCATCTGACTATTTAAAAGAACACATAAATTAATATTGATGAACTAAACTAGATATAATATTATGATGTTCTATAAGATATTTTGTCCCTTAGAATACTATCATAACTTGGTTCTTTTGGGTCAAATACCTGATTTCTTAGTATTTGTGTTAGAATCATAATAAGGTAAAATTGAACAAAAATAGAGATAAGATACATCCCAATAAGATAGAAAAAATATGTAGTTTTCAGCTATTGATCAAATATTAGGATCCCCCAGTGCTGTAAAGGAGATCCCCTTTAATGCTAGATAATAGCCCTAAAGTCATGAATAAAAGATACTTAGGAAGCGTATATTCAATAGACTTTTCCTTTCATCTTATTTCATGTATTCTGTCTGGGTATTTAATGTAAATATAACATCTATATTTAATGGATTAAAACTGCTAAATAATTAACCCTCTTCCTGGGTGATTTACTCACTAGCTGACTCACTTAAGACTTTTACTTTATATTAGTAGACCTAATCAAGACTACAGTGCATGGAGTTGTCCTCATTTGTGGCTGACCTATCACAATGGACAATTCATGTTTCCTGAGGGATTGCTCCCAGACCTTATTTTTCCTGTATTCACCTGTGCCATTCGGTGACTACTGCTATGGACATTCTTAGGGTGCTTCACAATTCCCTGGATGATAACCATTATTTCAGCTCTTTCTTTTTTCTCGTGAAGCTGTATTGGAGTTAATACGTTCTTGTGATCATGAGGAAACTTCAGTATTCTATAATGATTAAAAAGTAACAACTAAGTATTAAAATAACCTCTCCAATTTAATATTTCTATTTTCATTTAACATTTGTGTCCACTTAGAGTATCATATTGATGATTTGAATTGATTATTGGGCTGTCTGATTTGAAGTTTTTTATATAGCATGTTTATACTGCATTTTAAATTGTGAGATATCTAAGTTTTCAAAAGTTGAAAAGAGAAGGATTCAGATACTTGTAATTCACTTAAATAGTATTATCCAGGAGAAATCTTTAAAAGAAACCAGAATAAGGAAGAGGAGCACCTCATTAGAACAGGGTATCTGTAAAGTCTACCCTAGATCTAGACATAAAGGGATATTGGAAACATAAATTTGCCTCAGAGTTAGTCTTGTGGTAAGAGGTCAGCAGTATTAAACATCCCTACCAGTTAGTCCTTGGGCTCTCCCTTTGGTTGTAGAAATAGAGGTGACAGGAGATGGAGTGGGGGCTAAAGAAAAATCTCCCAAAATTTAAAATTTTCTTAGGGCAACTAGAGGTAGCAGGCATCCAGCATTCACAGAAGCTGAGAAAAAAAAAAAAGAGTATGTGTGAAAATACCAACATTTTCTACAGAAAACAAGTTCTTGGGCTAACCAAAGTGCTTGGTTATTTTTCTATTTGCCTGGATCGTAAAGGGCCACATAACTGCTTTACTATGGAATTTTTGATTTTGCAGTGTGATGAGATATCTATCCCAAGAGCCAGTGGGTATCTGCCCATTGGCTTTTTGAATATGACTTAAGTTTGCAGGGACTATATAGGAAACTGAAATAGCTTCTGTATGAAGCAAATTCTGTTTTCTGTTTCAACCAACACATGAAAACAACAACAAAAACTTGTAATGGGATATTAGCTGATATTTAGATATTCTTACATATTGTATAATGTTTAAATCAGGCCAAAGATACCTATCTCTTGAAACAGTTATCATTCCTTCACAAGTAGTTACTTAGTATCTTTTCCTCCAGACTTTTGAGATATTCCATTCATAGTTATTTTCTGTAGTTACTGTAGTATGCAGTAGCACACTACGGTTTCTTACACCCATCTT